GGGGCTGGGCTGTGCCTCCAGCACGTTGCCAAAGTTACTTTTGGGCAGCGGGTCCATTGGTGACATCTCCTCGATACGATTGAGTCCGAATTTGGTGGCCAGCGTGTTGGCAGAGCGGCTGGGAAAGTAGTGGGTGCCACTGCGCATATTGATGTAGTACTCGGGCGCCGGAGGATTGGCACTGCTGGCCGCACACGGCGAGTTGCCATCGGTGGAGTAGCCCGTGGAGTAAGCGCTCTCCGGCGAGGAGAGACTGTGCGGCCGGGGACCGGGTACGAAATTGCCACGCGGCATGCCGCGTGGTGCACGCAAACGACTCAGCTGCTGGGACACAGCGGGTGGAGGCGGCGGCGGTGGGGCCTCCAGCTTGGAGGGCAGCAGACGGCCATAGTGCACATGATTCTTGGACTGCTGCTGCTGCGGCTCCTCCTCGTAGACCAGCTGCAGACTGGTCAGATTCTCGGACTGTGGACGCTGATAGTCCAGCATGGGCGCTTGTGGGCGTAGCAGTAGTGCACCCACCTCCTCATAGTCCACCTCGTCCTCGATGGGCGCCTGGTAATCACTGCTGATTTCAATGTGCTCCACCTTCTGGCTAATTACCTTCGCTTGGCTAGACTGCATGGAGGGCTCCTTCGAGCCGGTGGACCAGGACAGCGATGAAATGGATGAAGAGGAGCAATTGACGCGCGTGGGCGACTTATCGGCGCTTGTGGAGCTGCAGCTATCCTTGCCAGGCACGCTCAGCTGCTGTGGCTGCAACGGCTGCAATGGCGACAGCGTCTGGTGGCATTGATAGCGATGCGGAGCGTACAGCAAATTATCCGACTTGGGTGACGTGATGGAGGTGTGCGTATCCTGGTCCGGCGATTGCCAGCCATACCGACTGGGCGTCTAAGGGGATTCGGGTGCGAGATTAGGCAGAGTCTCTTATGGAAGATTAGCTATGGCTACTCACATGACATTGTATGGGCGACACCTCGCGCCGGCGCACCGGGCTGGCAATGCTGTGGCTGCCACTGCTGGTCAGCACAGGACTCGTCGTGGACTTCAGATTGCTGCTGTGAGGCAGCGTGCCCGCTTTCTTGGCATGGCTGGCACTGCTGCTCCCACCGCTTCCTGCCCCTGCTCCGCTGCCATCTGGCTGCTGCTTGTTCTTATTATTCTTCTTGCGTGGACGCACAATGTGCGTTTCCATCCAGGAACGCAACTTGGAACCAAACATTGTTTCTCCTTCACTCTCTCTCTCTCTCCCTCTCTGTCTGTTATCAAATGTTAGTCTAAATGGACGGATTGTTGTTGCTGCTGTTGTTGGAATATGAGAAGCAGAAAGGATGCCATTAAAGTATTTGCTCAGCTCCGAAATGCAATTCCATAATAATGTCTGGGACAATGGCTGGAAGTTTGCATAGGGCTCGTGGGCTGCCTGCAAAACTGACTCCTGGGGCCACTTTCCGCTGATAAGAAAATCCATTTATGACAGCACAAAAGCCGCCTAACGCACAGTGGTGCGCATAGTGTGCGCAAAGTGTGCGGGAGCACATAAAATGTTATAGTTTCTAAGGTAACTAACTAAAATAATAATAATATTTATTATAATAAAATAAAACAAAATGGGCCAAGGTAAAAATAAAAATTAAATTTTAACAATAAAAATAATTATTTTATGATTTTATAGTTTACAAATATTTGAAATAACACAAATATTTGAAATTTATTTAAATTTAATGCATGTTATAAATTATAAATTCACTTGTTTTGTTGTCTTGAACCACTGTGTGCAGCAGCAGCAAGAGGCTTTCATATTTGCTATAGTTTTCAACTGTAACTATGTATACATACATATGTATGTGCATATATGTGTCTGTGTGTGTGTTGGTATTTTTTGCAAAATTACCTTATTCGCAAATGTCTGTAGCCTCATAATATCCTTTACGCCTGTTTTTATTGTGCGGCACACGAGATGAAAGGCGAGCTACACACACACATAACACAGCGTATACGTTTCTCTTTATCTATATGTGTGTCTGTGGATCTGTGTGTGTGCGCTTACGTTAGGCAGACAGCGAGACGACTCGACGTCTGGCAACGCTGTAGCTGTGTGCGTGTGTGTGTGTRTTTGTTTATTTTTTGTTGACGTTTTTTAGGCGCACACAAACAACGATGTCGATGTTTCCTGGTATGGTATGCGCGTGTGTGTGCGTTGCTTGGGGGTTGTTTGTAAGCTGAGATGCACGCCTATTGCCGCTTCAAGGACTCATCGGACTCATGCTGTGCTCCAGAGTTACTCAACGTTGTGTGGGTGTGCTTGTGTTGGTGTGGGGGTTGTCTGTGTGCCTTTATAAGCCTCCCCTTTTGGGGAAATGATACGTAGCTGGGTTGTAAATCCAACCGTAACTGTAAATTTTTATGTCAAGCTATTTTCAATTGTTGTTTCGTTAAACTGCAGCGTGAATATTTTATTTGATTTGATTTTTTTATAGCATTGCCCGTACGATTTAAATGCGTAAGTGTATGTGAACTGTATGAATGATTTGAATGAAATTTTAGTTTATGCTTTAAGTTCCGTTTGCGTAGTTTCGTTTTGATTACTTTGATATGCAAATTAATTGGAAATATGCCCGGCAACGTATAATTTAAAAAGCAGAAACTTTGCCCACTTCTGGGCTGCAAGAGATGAAAGAAGATTTTTTCACTGTCTATATTGAGTGATGTATTGGTATGTGCTTGTGTCGGTCTTAGATTTATTTTATTTTTTGGTGGTAGCAATAATATGTGCGGCTGAAATGGCGTTTGCTGCGCGGCGAAAGAGAGCGACTGCCGCCGCTGAAGTGAAAAAAGCAACTAACGGAATGCGCAGCCATCAAATCGTAAGGAAGTCTAATGCTAACCGACATCGTTCTGTGAAGACATTATAAAATACAATGAATTCGATGGCTATTGCGCATATAAAATCTACTGTACAAAAACAGTTATTTTTGTATTTTGAAATCTATATATCAACTAAAGTATGCTATATAAATTGAAAATAAAGTATGTTAACGTTAACGTCATGTTAACGTTATCGATATACCGCCACACACTGTAAGAGTGGCTAGCATAATTAATCGATATCGTAAAGTTCCATCTCTGCGCCATGCATTATTGTGAAACATAAGCAAATTTTTTGCGCTAATTTCGTTTACATATTTAATTCATGTGATTCATTGGTTCTTATAGAAGTTTTAACATGCGGTGCTATTATGAGGAGTTGGGCGTGGCCCGTGACTCCAACGAAGCTGACATTAAGACAGCTTACCGGAAATTGGCATTACGCTGGCATCCAGATAAAAATCCAGAATGCCTGGCTGAAGCAAAGGAACGCTTTCAGCTAATTCAACAGGCCTACGAGGTTTTATCCGATGGCCAGGAACGTGCCTGGTACGATAACCATCGCGAGCAAATTCTGCGCGGCAAGAATTCTGACTACTCCGAAAACTGCTTGGACGTGTTTCCCTACTTCACCGGCTCCTGCTACAAGGGCTACGGAAATGATGCTCAGGGCTTCTATAGCGTCTACCGCGATGTTTTTAACAAAATTGCTGCCGAAGATATGGATTTCATGGACAGTGACGACGAAGGCCTGAGCGCGCCACAATTTGGCGATGCCAACAGCAGTTACGAAGATGTGGTCGGTCCATTCTATGCCTACTGGCTTTCATATAGCACCAAAAAGACTTACGAATGGCTCTGCCCGTACGATGTACGTGAGATCAAGGAGCGTTTCATATTACGGAAAGTAGAGAAGGAAATGAAAAAGATTGTACAGAATGCGAGAAAGGAGAGGAATGAAGAGGTGAGTAGCAGATGGAACTGGTATATAGGCTAGCAATTAATGCTCTCTTTTTTGCAGATTCGTAATTTGGTTTCATTTGTGCGCAAGCGTGATCGCCGTGTGCAAGCCAACAGACGTGTGTTAGAGGAGCGTGCCGAGGCGAATCGTTTGAAGCAGGAGGAGAAGCGCAGGGAGCAATTGCGTCAACGCCAAGAACAGCTGGCCGCAGTGCGTGCCAACAAGGTGGACAACGATGGTTACGAGGAACAGCTCAGACAGCTCGAGCAACAATATGGCAGCGAGTCAGACGAGTACACCGATGAGGAGGATGAGGACGAGAATGAAGATGATGTCGATGCAGAGAACGTAGACTCAGATAATTTGAGTGAGCAGGAAGTGGAGTATGTGGATGATCTGTATTGTGTGGCATGCAACAAGTCGTTCAAGAATGCCAAAGCGCGCGCCAATCACGACGAGAGTAAAAAACATCGCGACAATGTGGAGCGCCTCTGTCAGCAGATGGAGGCCGAGGAGCAGGAATTTAATGAACACAGCGAAGAGCTAGAGGCAGCTGAAGAAAGTCTAGAAGACCTGCAGCTGAATGGCAATCACGAGGCAGACTTGGTCAGCGATGAGGCCGCAAACGACCAAACGAGCAACAAACGCAACAAGAAAAACAAGAAATCGAAAAAAGTTGCCACCAAGACTGCTGTAGAGAGCGATGATGAAGACGAATCCGCGCCACCTGTCAGCTTCAATGCGGCGCCAAGTAATAGCGAAGACGATGACAACGACGATTGGAGTCGTGGCAAAAAGTCAACCAAAAAGACAAAAAGCAAAAAGTCAACAACAGCAACAAATGTCAGCAAACAAAAAGTTGAAGCGGCGTCAGCCGAGGCAAAACCAACAGCAGGTGCGCCGGCCAAGGCGGCGAGAGGAGGTGATGATACGGCGGAGGCAACAGTTGTGCAACATACTTGCGTCACATGCAAACTATCGTTCGACTCCAAGAACAAACTGTTTGCCCATCTCAAGAAGACCAATCACGGCGTCTACATACCCAAGGCCAAGCCGGATGTAGAGGGCAAGCCACCTGGCAAGGGCAAAGGGAGGCGAAACAAGTGAAGCTTCTCTTCGATTTATTTGGCTGTTTCGGTTGCAGTTGCAGTTGCCACTGCAGCTGTCCTTGTAGAAATTCTAGTTGTTTATTTATGCTTATGCTAATGTTAAATCGTTAAATTCGAAATTAAATTAAGTGTACACGCCCAATTATCGGTTGAATGTTTTAGCTGCCATAGATACGAGATTGGCTATGGAATGCAAACGAGTTTGCTGCCGGACTCGATGCGCCGGCGCACGCGTGTTCGTAAATTGGAAGATTCTGCCTTTAGGCTGATGCCGGCGGCTGCGAAAGTCAGCAGGATGCCCACCAGGGCACAGTAGAAGGAGATGCCTAGCAGTGGAACAAGTGGATTAATCAGAAATTACTGTATATATAGACGTTCTGCTTACCTATGCTGCAATCAGCTGGATAGAAGGGTTCCGCCTCCTGGCCGCACAGACGTTGCACGCGTGCAGCCCGCCAGCCCAAGGGATGCAGAAACAGGGCCAACATCACAGCTATGCCTGCAGAGGATTAGTGATAGATTAGCTGGGATGGTTGATATATTGTGGCAATTTTAGAACTCACCTGCGAGCACCTGTGCACAGGCCGTCATGTTGTGTATGCTCTTGCCAAATGCTGACTGCCTGCAGCAGGTGAGCAGCGTGGCGCACACCGTCAACGAGAGCAGCACTAGCCCCAGCGACAAGCAAAACATGGCCAATTTCCATTCCAATGGATAGACACTGCCATCGGTTGCAAAGCCATCCAAGTCGAAACGTCCACAATGATAGCCCAGCTGTTGCATCTGCTTGCAGCGTGTATAAATGCCCACAGACTCTAAACGCTGATTAGAACCGGGCGTGGCCTGACTCCAATTGGCGCCGCCAATCGGGGGTCCAATTAGCCATTTGGGTGTGACCAGAGCAACGGCCACGAACATATCCGCGACCAGGGTGCACAGAAACCAGACTAGACTCACACTTGTGATGATAACGTAGCACATTTTACTTGATGTTTTTTGCGCAGTTTGTGAACAATTTCTTCGTTTGTTTTCTGGTAATTTAGTTGGAAACGTTGTCAGAACACGCGTCCGCTTCGGCCGCGTACATAATCGTCTCTAGCATTTGGCTATGCGTACACACACCCACATTCACCACAAATAGCACCACCACCAACGGGGCGACTTCCTTTCAGCTGACCAGCTCGAAATGGTATTGTTTATTTTATATGCTTTCCACTCGCCGTTGTCTGTTTTATGTTATTCATTCACCCCATTCACACACACGCACGCACACATACACAACCACACTCCCAGTTGAAAGCGAATGAAAGAAAATAGTCAAACTTTATAGTTGTTGTTATACTTGAAGCTTAAACTGCAGCTGCTGTTGGCATTTTCTTCTTTTTCTTTCTCACTCTGTACGYTTTTCAATTTTGCAATATTATTATTATTTTTTTTTTTTGTTTTTGCTGCGGCTCCCTTTTGCGCAGGCGTTGTGCACGCGTTGAACGGAGTCTGAAGAAAAACTGAATGAATAGCGCGCATTGAAAGCAGCCAAACGTCTGTCGAAGCGCATGCCCAGGCCAGATGTGTGCGCCTGCAGCGCAAGGGGGAACAGTTGGGGGAGTGGCCGGGGCGAAGCTAGTAGGGGGGGCGCAACAAGAGCGGACACAAGAAATCCAGACATTCCAGACGAGCGCCCAGCAAAAAGTTCTCACATGCACACACAGTAGCATACAGAAGTATGCGTACGATGCTATATGCAGAAATGCACAATCAATTCGTCGTGTCTTAATATTTGATCAAAATACAAATGTATAACAAACATTAATCTTCTTATAAATAAAATGACTCGAAATTGATAGTTATTTACTAATTTAGTTTCAAATAAAATAATTTAAATAAGCACATTTTATGCACCCACAAAATTTTGTTTATATCAATACTTTTTCAGCTTACTGCATTTCTACTGGCTCTCCGCTCGTTCGCTCTGTTGCTCTCATTGTGTGTTGTCTCTCTGCACTTTTGCTCTCTTTGTGCTTTGCATGTGCACACACATGTTGGTTCTGTTTGACCCCGACTCCGACTCTGTCTCGCTCTCTGCAGCCCGCTTATGCCGGCGATGAGTAATAAGCGGCGGGTATTTGGTTCTCTTTGAATGCAAATGAAGTTTCGTAATGCCAGCAATCGGCGATCTGTCTGGCCTGGCTTATCAGTTAGCACCCCCCCAAGTGATTTACATGTTCGGCCCCATTGCATCATACGCGCTGTGTACTTAAGGCAATTACTGTTACTGTAGCAATGATCGTGACCGGGCAAAATGAATTGCGTACACATGTTGAAATCACTTTCACTCTCACTTGGCGCCAATAGGACAGCTGACTTCTACATTTCAATTTCAATCTCAAGCGTTATCGCAATCGCAATTTGTCGTTCAGTCAAAGATGCTGTCATTGCCGGTGTTCCCGTTACTAGTCCTTCAACTGTTGCCTGTCTACTGTTACTATCACGAGTACCGTTACTGGGAGATAAATGATCCGCCGCCCATATGCTCAGAGTATGAGATGCTGATTGTGAATACGCACCAATGTGTGCGCCGTTGCAACATTGTGTGTCAACGCGGCGTTTGCTTTGAGGATGGACCGTGTCCTTGTGCGGATCAGTATCAAAGCTCACATGGGGACAGTGTAGTATGTGCCGCCGAGTGCGTGCCCGGCTGCCAGCAGGCAGGTGGACACTGTGCCGGTCCCGAGCTCTGCATTTGCCGCAAGAGTAAACACTACTACTACGATCCAGTGGCGCGTCGTTGTCGTCGTCGTGGACCCCGCCTTTTGGATCTGTGCGGCGGGTAATTCAAATGCTTAATTATCAAAATAATATTATTTGAGTGTTTAACTGCATCTCTCTGTCTCTCTCTTCTCATGTAGTCGTTGCATTCATGGCCGCTGCTCGTATGATGGTCGCTGCATCTGTGCGCAGGGCTATGAATTGCGAAGTACGCTGCTCCATGGCTCCGAATGTATGCCAACCTGTGATCAGTAAGTGTTGCACAAAATCATAAATATACATACAATGTCTCATCTGCAACATCCTACAGCGACTGTGGTCCCAGAGCCTATTGCTATGCTCCCAATATGTGCGCCTGTCGGCACAAGCATTATCACTATGCCTGGAATGGAAAATGTACCAAAGACTACTAAAGAAATTTGTTTAACGTGATAATAGGGCTGTTTTAAGTCCATTTTAATTTATAAAAAATCAGAATTATTAAAATACTTATGCTATAAATAGCAAATTGAAGATTAGCATCGTATGTAGATTTTGGCTTTTATGCAACCAAAATGCCTCACATTTATTTTACAGCGCATGAACAGTTTGAGAGTAGGGTAGCAAGAATAAGCGAAAAGAGAGAGGGAGAGAGAGCGATGAGAGCACGAATGCTTTTCCGTTTGAGCAGCTGTGTAATATAATGTTTAATGCCGCATTTGTTATTGTTTATATTTTGTGTTCATAGTTGCAGTGCTTGTTGCCGAAAGTAACAATTTGATTCATTTCTTAATCAGCTGGCTATTCACTATGCCGGAGAAAAAAATCCGTTGCTCTGCAAAAGCCGAATGCGTACGTGTGGTCCAGTGGCGTCGCTTTAAATCAACATTCTTATAGTTTTAAAAGGGGGTCAGTCAATCCCCTCTGCCATGGCCCTGACATTGGCGCAGCAACCAGTTTAAGGCGACCAACTGAAAAGAAACGCTTGATAAGCTCGAGTTTTCGTACCAACACAATCACACGCACACCAATAGACACATTTCTTTTGTGCCCATATGTAATGTGCGCTAATTTTTGTCTTTCGTAGGGCATTCGAATTTTAATAATATGTCTTGCTCACATTAGATAAAGAAAGAGCGATCAGCGTGCTGGCGGCGATGGCAGCGGTAATAACAAGCGCGTGTGGCGTGTTTTTATTTATTCTTGTTGGGGCAGGGGCTCGCTGCTCTGCTCAGTTGTCAGTTGTCGACGTCACTGGCAGCGACAACGGCAGAGGCGGCAGCGTTCGTTCTTCAATGCTTGTGGGCCTCTGTCGATAGCAGCAGCAACGGTCGCACTCAGTTGGAGTTTTGCTTTCCAGCAGTGCGGTTCGGCGTCCTCCCAAATAACTTCCCCTTTGCTCATCTACTCCTCTCTTTGTGCATTCGTATTGTTTGTGCATTTCTTGCTGAATTTTATATCAATTTGCAATTTTAAACAAGCTTAAGTAAATCGACTGTACTTAAAAGCAATAATGGGCCAAATCAGGGTAAGTACAATTACATAATCGTGCCTTTGTTAATATGTATTTACGAATGTATGTATAAAATGCAATTTTAATTTATGTGCACACACATGCACACATAAATATGTATTCCTTTATGTGCCTATATATTAAGCTACCTGTTATCCTTTGACAAGCTGGCAACACTGATATATATAAAGCGTGGGAATATTTATAGTTTCACATGTTAAGTGATTAGAAGCGTCTGTTTTTAAGTGCGTGTGCGAGTACTTGCGTGCTCGGGTCTGTAGTGAAAGTTATGTAAGAGAACAGAGAAGCGTTTAAATTGTCATAAAAATGCAACAAATTATTCACAGTGACAGGGAAGCTGAAGGTAAATTCGTTTTAGCGCTTTCGTGGCGTGTCAATCTCTATTTGTCTCATTGATTAGAACGCTTTAAGTAATTATATTAACGCAATATTTCTTTTTTTTTTTTTTTATAAAAAATGACATGCAAACATACATTTTTTATATCAAGCACACATATATGTACGTATATATATATACATACATACATATATTAGATTTTAAAGTAGGCGGAGCTGCTGCGTAGTTCACAAGGCACGCACGTCAGCCAAAAAAAAACTTGAGCAGAAAGAACAGTAAACAAGATATATGTATGTATATGTATGTATGTGTGTATTTGTGTTTTATAGTAGTGTGTGTTAACAGAAACAATCAACTAAAAAAGTGGCGTGAATGCAGTAAACCGGTTAATGCATTACCGTTGTCCAATAATATTTTCATCTCGTTTTGGCAACAAAAACAAAAGTGTATAAATAAGTTGACTTTGTGTTGGTATGTATGTACATACACACATATGTGTGTATGTATGTATGTGCGGGCGGCGCTATGATGTGCTCGAGCAATTAGTGATGGGCGTTTGTCATGAAACAAACACGCATGAAAACAGAGTATTAAGTGCGCTTTTGATATATTTAGATTGTTTTGATTTTTTAAATGCGCAAAATATTGTCTTCCGATTTATTGTTAATGATGAACTATTAATGTGGCATTTAAACTTAATTTAAAAATAATGCAGTTGATTTGTAAAATTGATTTTAAAATTTTCATTTTATTTTTTATTTAGTGTTATTATATTAATTTAACTTTTTCAACTTTTTTAACTTAAATATTCCATTTTAAATGCAAAGCATTATATACGCTTGTGTAGAAATAATCCGTGTCATTTTATTGTATTGAGTCGTGCATATTTGTATCACGCGCCCATCTCCTCAGTCTTTAAATGATATGCCGAATAGTCGCAGTGTCGTGTCAAGCTTATCAAAAGCCTCTTCCCCGTTGGGGGCTACCGATACTGTGTGTATGGAATATTCTTTAAAGTTCTTTTTATTATTGGGCTTTTTGATAAGCTGCAGGTGTTAATTATAGATTTATAGATTTATGATAGTTAAGTACATTTTGTTATATGCATAAATTAATTGATGGGAATTTTTCTTTGGCACACAGAAAGCTTCGTCGGCATTGAGCAAATTGTTTGTCTATGGCGCCTTGAAATACGGACAGCCAAGCAATTCGATCTTGGCCAACACGGGCAATGGCTACGCCAATTTCTGGTGCCGTGCAACGACGACACAAAAGATGCCTTTGGTGATTGCCACGCGTTATAACATTCCATTTCTGTTGAACAAACCCGGCGTGGGATATTATGTAACCGGCGAGATCTATGAGGTAATTGTTTATCCATATGCATAAATAGATTAGCGATTCGGTTAACCAATTTATGTGCTATATAGGTCGACGATCGTATGCTCAACTCATTGGATAATCTGGAGGACTGCCAGGATGTTTACACTCGCGAAATTCAGGATATGAACATTGGTGTGGGGGAGGGGTAAGTTCCACTCAACTTATAATGACGTCAAAATTTTATTTTTATCTTTATATATTTAAATTTATTTATAAACATTTTTCTATTTGCAGCACCGTTCCATGCTGGGTCTATCTGCTGCAAAAGTATCCAGAGAAGCTGCTCTCGCTGCCCTATCTGTCTAGCTATGAGAATAGCTCCACACATCCGTATATTATGCGACATCGTCGCACACACAAGCATCCAGCACAGGATGATCTCACTTATGAAGCGGCTCAAAACTAAAATGTGTTCGAAAAGGAAGGGCGTGGCCAATTATTATTATTATAACTACCGGTAGTTGCATTTGTAGAACATATACACAGACTTTATATACACACATACATATATACATATTGCTATATATATATATATTACATGCGTACGATAGTTGATAGATTGAACGTAGTTTGTAATTTTATAAGTTTCAAGTAAATAAAAGCAATTCGAGATAAATACAAACAGATCATATTTGCCAATGCCCAACAGGTGCGCTGACTTTGTTATTATATAAATAGCGCGTGTAAACATTTGTTATTTTGTGATCGTTTTTTTCCCTACAGCTGTGATGTTAATTGTGGAGCAGCACTGTTAACTTAACATATGCAAATCTTATCACTTGTCGCCGTTTTCAGTGATTGGCAATTTGGCTGAAATTCATCCAGAAACTACTTAATTATCAGATCTATGATTAACATTCCATAAGAGGCTAATCATGTCGCAGGCACTCAAAAGAGTTTTCGTCTATGGCACCTTGAAAAAAGGCGAGCCGAATCACCATTGGTTAACCAGCGAAAAAAATGGCTTCTCGCGGTTGCTAGCCAAGGGCAAAACAGAGATTAAATTTCCCCTGGTTATTGGCACACGTTACAATATTCCATTTCTGCTAAATAAGCCAGGTGTGGGCCACAATATTGAAGGTGAGATTTACGAGGTGGATGATACAATGTTCTCAAATTTGGACGTGCTAGAGGATTATCCCAGATACTACGATCGTGAGCTGCAATCGATATTGACAAATGAAAATGAGTAATGGGAACAGCTGTTCTTCTTGATTAACTGTAATTAATGCGCCCTTTGTTTGAATTAAGCAGAAAATTGGAATGCTGGCTTTATCTGATACGTAACTATCCGGAGAGTATGTTGGCCAAACCTCAGCTCAGCTCATATAGTAATCGGCCCGAGCAGCCATATAGTGAGAAGTCAGTCAGAGATCCAAACATCCCAGCCCGAGATGATTTATCCTATTGAATATATAACATTTTTACAGTTATGTCCAGAGCAAACCAGATGATCTCTTCACGGACGGTTAGAGAGCAAATTTCCAACTTGGAACAGAAAAGTCGAGAATAGAGAGCGATAGTGCTAAAGAAATAAATTTATAAACGAATATAAAACGAATCTCAACGCATGGCTATTATTCGTACTCTCTTCTATTACATTGATTCCATAATTCAAAAAAATGCAAACGAAATGAACAATATTTCTCTTATTTTTCGGTTAAATGGTAAAGGGTTAATCGAAGCCTAAAAAAAAGTGTTTACAATTATGCATGCAGAACTCGTAATAAATTGTTTTTTTTTTTTTTTTTTTTTCTGTTTTGCTATAGCTCCGAATCAGATTAGATCAAACTTCTAGCTTGAGTGTAGCACATAAGATGAAAACGGTAGATTTTTGCTGTTTGTTTGTTGCTTGTGGTGTGTCGACATCGTGATCGTTGGCAGGGACATGGCCTAGCTGTCGGCCTCATCATCGAGCGACTGGAATCGATTGGTGGCCGCAACGGGCGCAGCGGCTGTCTCCTGCACTCGCTGGTAGCGGCCGCCGTGTCGGACTTCTTCGAAGGCGGGTTCGTTTTTCTTTTTGCGCTGTTCCTCCGGCCGGGCCGCGCTCAGCGTCGGGAAGAACTCCGTGTTCGTGATATCAGGCGCCGTGCGCCTCGTACGCAGGCCACCGCTGCCGCCGCCGAGGCCCATCCCGCTGCCAGCTTGCTGCAAGATGAACAAAGTCCAATGAATATCGTACGGCATTTAGAAAATCAGTCGCTGTAATACGATATACGTACATACATATATGTACGTATATGCATAAATACTTACGGCAGCACGTAACGCGGGTGAAATGTACATTTTGGACGATGACTTCTCTGTTTCCACCGGCACCGGTATTTGAGTCACCTCCTCTGCGGGTATTAATTTCTTCCAGGGACCAAATCCGCTTCGCTTGCTATTTGGATCTCCATTGGCATCGCTATCCTCATCATCATCATCGTAAATATCATCAGATTGCTGTTGCTGTTGTTGTTGTTGTTGCTGCTGCTGTTGCTTATCAGAGATGGTAAGTTGACCAATTTTTAAGCCACTGTAATCCTTGCGCTGCTCCTGCTCAAATTCTTTCCATTCCTCCTCCACGGGCTGCGCACGGCAACAATAACAATTAGTGAAAATTTGATTTGGATGACAATGCAGAGTTGGAAACTCGATTGGAATTTGATTGCAACTCTCACCTCGATGTTTGGCTCTGGCACTTTGATGTTGCTCTCGTTTTCGCCGCCTTCTGCCACGCCGCCAGCCAAAGCTGTCGAGACTTCAGGTTTTTTTGGTTTGACAGCAGTGGCCGCCACCTCACGTTTCGTGCACTCCTCTAGGTTCCTCACTAGCTCATCGGCTGTCACAAATTTGCTCTTGGATTTCGACTTCTTCTTGTCCTTTTTCGCAAAGAAATCGTCTAATTCGGCCATGCTTGCAATAATTTTTCGCGATTCCCTGTTCCAAATTATAATGAAATCCAATCGCACTTGCGTGAGGTGGTATGTAAAAATAAATCGCTATCGATAGTGCCTATCGATGATTGAGCCACACGTGGTCAAAGTTTGCTGAACATACGTTTTAATTTATTGTTAATATAAGCAATGAATTTATGTCAGCTTTTTCAGCTAATAATTTGCAACGATGTAGTTCATTGCCCAGCCTGTGTATGCCAATTCCGAACGTAACGATGTCTTTCGATTATACTAATTTAATAAAGTTATTTGTGCATTTTGGCGCTGAAAAAGTATACAATATTAACTCAATCAAAATGTATCGAAACTAGTTGTGAAAATGTATAATAAAGCTTCTAATATTTAAGAAAAAGTGACATATCGATATGAAAATTGTTCAAACATGAACTAGTTTATATAAAATTTGCACTGTGTGGCAGCACTGGCAGTAATTAAAAATTCGCAACGGCTATCGACGGTTAGCCATTTGGCGGTTCAATTAAAAGAGTTTTGACGAACATATTTATATTTTGATATTAAGCCGCATTTGCATAATTTTTGCATAATTACCGAATGTGGGGATTTTTAGCTGATGTTATTATTGTAGGACTGGCACAATTTGCAATGTTTGGCAATAAAATTTGATAATATGGATGAGATATTGATAATTGCATAATATTCGAAATAAGGCAAAAAGCAAAATCCAAATTAATTGTATTCGCTTTTGCAAGCAGTCAGCAAACAAATTTACATGATTAATTATTGATGCAAATAAATATGCTAATGGGCCATAAATATGCATATTTAACCAACGTTTAAACAATAAATGTTTGCAAATTGCTTTGCACTCTAAATAATGTTTGCAGTTCATAGTTGACCAGTTTAATGGTCACCCAAAGACTATATATATATGGGTTATAAGCTAAGGCCGCAATAAGACTTCCTTTATTTTTTTGTTTTTGTTTTGCCGCATTCGTTATTGTTGTCAAAGTTCCGCAGAATTTGCTAAGCAAATGTGTGCGCCAAATAGATATTTATGACTGCAGCTTGCAGCGCTTGCCACATACACTATAACAGTCAAGCAGCTAATAAATATATATATTTGTAGCATATGTATATGGATATATATGGATGGAGTTTCAGTTTCGATGCGCAGCGCACTAAAAATTCAAAAGTCGTTTCATTCATATTGACAAGCGCACAGCTCGAGGTGTCTCAGTCTTCTTTTGAACGCCGCACAGCGCACAGCTCGCTGCCTCCAGCTTTATATATACATATATATCGGTCTCTTTCTCTCTCTCTCTCTCTATATATATATGTATATATCGCTTTGATCGTACATCTCGTGTGCTCGTGGCAAGCTACAATTTCGATTAAATCATTTTTCTCGTATTTGATAACACGACGCGTTTCGTTTTGGTGTTCATAACGAGTTTTTTGGCTATTGAAACATTTTTCAATTAATTAAAACTTTACAAAAGGTAATTAAAAAAAAAAGAAACAGGTGCACTGCCCAACACTTCGTGCTCTTGCATTTGCTAATAACAACTGTACAAATGTACAACAATAAAACTTTAATAATTATAAGTTAAGTGTCGCTGCAATTGCTTTTAACCTCATATTATGTTTATTCTTATATTTTTGTATTTTCTTGCATTCGCGCAATTAGCTTTGGGCAAAACACTTTTAAATAATTAGCTTCAAACAATTTGAAACATTTGGAGTGCTATTAGCTGACCACCGAAGCGTTTAATTTGTAAACAATGTTTCATATTAATTATTTAAAATATGAAAAAAGAAAGAAACCAAAAAAATGAAACAATTAAAAATGTTGAACTTTGCATCATCAAAAATGCTTTTTGGCTTCAGCTGGGTCACGGCCCATGTCAGGGTCAAGCTGATCTGGTTGATGCCACAGCATCCACATGAGTGAAGCTAGTTTTTCTTTTCAATATGTAAGTTCAAATCATTTCCGCAAAGACCAAATCCTTGAATTCTTTTTTTTTTTATGTGATTTGATCTTTTTGTATACTCTGCTTAATTCGAGCTTAAGTCCATTGAAAGTCTTTGGTAAGGTTTGTCAAGCTCGATTCATAGATTGAATATAATTTTGAGCATTTATATAATGTATAAATTATATGCACAAACATTTCCTCAAATTTGCATTTAATTAGCATATATTAAATATTTTTTATAAAGTCAGTTCCTTTAATTGATTATCGTTTGATTACGCTTAATATTAACTAATTATGACTTTAAATATTCGAAAAAAGTCTTTAAATTAAAATAT